GCCCAGGCGGGTCTCGAACCCACGGGCTCAGGTAATCCACTCACCTCAGCCTCCCAAAGGCGCAGGATTACAGGCTGAGCCACCGAGCCCGGCTTGATAATTTTTTTCTTAACAGGAAACAGGCCTTCCATTGCTTGGAAATAAATGTTGAAACATCCCTGATGGGAGTGAAAAGGTAGATCCCACCATCGGTCTGAATTTGCATCAAGACTTTTGGAAAACAAGGGGGGGTGGGCAAAGCTGCTTTGCCCGAGAAAGAGAGGAACTTTCAGGGCAACTTAGGAGGGGAGGAGAGGGGCAGCCAGTGGAATGGAGGCAGGGTCACACCACACCTGCGATTTCCACTCTAACCCTGCCCAAGTCCACTCTCTACTTTATCAAAATCAGGAGAGGGTAATCCTTTTAAAATACACGTGTGGCCGGGTGCGGTGGTTCATGCCTGTAATCTTAGCACTTTGAGAGGCTGAGGTGGAAGGATTGCTTGAGCCCAGGAGTTTGAGACCAGCCTAGGCAACATAGCATGATCTTGTTTCTACAATAAATCAAAAAATAAAAGAAAAATAAAAGAATTAGCTAGGCATGGTGGTGCACACCTGTAGTCCCAGCTCTTTGGGTGGCTGAGGTAGGATTGCCTAAGCCCAGGAGACTGAGGCTGCATTGAGCTGTGATCTTGCCCCTGCATTTAGGCATGGGTGACAGAGTGAGACCCTGACTCAAAAAAACCCAAGAAAGTGCATATATGATCATGTACTCCACTGCTCAAAACCCATCCATGGCTCCTCTCACTCAGAAAAGAAGTCAAACTCCTGACCATGCTTCCCAGGCCCTGCACCATCTGCCCACTGGCTGCTGCCCAGGTCTCATTTCTGCTGGCATCCTTTGCTTACCACCAGCCGCCCTGCCCTCTTTACTGTTTCCAAATTCATCACACATACTTCCCACTCAGGGCTTTGGAACTTGTTATTCCATCTGCCTGGACTGCTCTCCACCCAAATACCTACATCTCTCTCCATCACTTCAATCTGGTCTCTTCTCAGTGGTTACCTGAGCAGAGATATCTCCCACCTGAAAAAGCAGCTTCCCCATTTCTCTTCAGTCTCTCACTCTGCATTATTTATTTCATAGCACTCACAGCTTTATGACAGATTGTGCAGTAACCTATTTGTTAATCTGTCCAACTCCCCCCACTGAAGTAAAATCTCTGTTGGGGCTCGGAAAATGATACCCAAAACATGGCACTTTGACATTTTGAACCAAAGAAGCAGCCTCTCTCTGATCTTCCCTGTCCCTTTTCTGTCTCTCAACTCTCTGTCTCTCCCAAAGCACAGAATGAGGCTTTTCTCCGAGACTCCCTCATCTACTGAAGACTGGGCCTGCCAAAAAGAACACAATTTCCTTCCATCCTGTCCCTGAAGCCTTATTGTCTATTGCAGAAAACAAGACTGAAGAATACAACCACACCTGGACAGAATTTTTCACAAGAGAGTCTGCGTCTTGGGCTCATTCAAATTCCAAAGAGAATAGTTTACAAGTTAATTTCTGTCTCTTGAGGCCTTTCATTTCCCCTACAAATCATACATCTTGTCTCAAAAAAAAATTTTTTTTTTTTTTTAGTAAGAGTCTCACTCTGTCACCCAGGCTGGAGTGCAGTGGTATGCTGCTCACAGCCACCGCAGCCTTGACCTGCTGGGCTCTTGTGATCCTTCCACCTCAGCAGTCCAAGTAGCTGGAACTACAGGCACGTACTTCCACACCTGGCTGATTTTTTGATTTATTGTAGAAACAAGGTCTCACCAAGTTGCCCTGGCTGGTTTCGAACCCCTGGGCTTTGGCAATTCTCTTGCCTCGACCTCCCAAAGTGCTGGAATTACAGCTTGAGCCACCACGCCCAGCCAATTCGCAAGATTGCTACTCCCCCTCGCCACTTTCCCTTCCCCTCTGAAGAAGTGTATATAAGCATCTGGACCTCATTGGGTTATTAGGCTATCATTCTCTTGTGATTCCCTTGTGCTTATGCATGTTAAATAAGTAACCGTCTTTTCCTTCTATTAACCTGCCTATTGCCAGTTCATTTTCAGTGAACTTTTATAGGACTAGAGAGCAAAGAGGAAGCTTTCCATTGCCCCTACAGCTTCTTCAGGTAGGCTGTTGACTCTTTTCCTCGTTGTGGTCTCCCCAGCTAGAACAGTGCTTCCGACATGGATATAGATGCCCGATAAACACATGTTGAGTGAGTTGCTTTGCCTAGGGGATAGAGGAGACAGTGAAAGAAGTTAAGTTGCCCTACAGTAGCAGAAAGTTTTGGAAGAGCTCTGGACCTTCATGCCTGTAGGTCTGGGGATGGGATGAGGTTTAAAGCAACTTCATCTACATCTGGATGCAGTGGCTCATGCCTGTAATCCCAGCACTTTGGGAGGCTAAGGCAGGAGGATTGAGTCCAGGAATTTGAGACCAGCCTGGGCAACATAGTGAGACCTCATCTCTACAAAAAAATTTAAAAATTATCTAGGTGTGGTGATGGTCACCTATAGTCCCAGCTACTCAGGAGGTTGAGATGGAAGGATCACTTGAGCCCTGGAGGTCGAGGCTACGGTGAGCCTTGATCGCGCCTCTGCACTCCAGCCTGGGCAAAAGAGTGAGACCCCAAGTAAAAAAATAAAATAAATAAAATGAAACAAAATAAAGCAACTTTATCTAGACTTTAATGGGCAGTAGACCCACAGCTGGCACATGGGTTGGATGTAAAGCATCAAACTGATGAGGGGGAAGCAGAGATGGGAGTCCAGTGTTCCTTCTTCCTTCTCAGTCACCACATCAAAGCAAACCCTCCCAAAGTACTAGCATTAGCTATATGATAGCTTTCCTAATCTCTGGGATGCACTCTGGAGAGTAGACTGAGGACTGACTGTGGGGGACCCATGCACCAGTCTCCAGGCAATGGAGGAGATTCTGGATCTCCATACAGATAGGTGGGTGCAACTGATTGAAGCTGTGGCAAATGTGGGAGCCTCTTTCCTGGGGATCCTGAATGTGTCATGCCTGGAAATATGAGGATATCCTTCCAAGGTGCTCACCTCAACCCCTCTGAGTTGTCATCATTGACTTTCCGTGTTTGGCCACAGAGTAAGGGTGATATACTCCTAATAAGGAAGAAGAGACCTACAATAGTGAGAGAGAAGAGAGAGGAAAGAGCAAGAGAGAGAAAGCTTAGGAGAAAGGAAGTTAGGGACAAGGAAGAGAAGAAACAGAAGGAAAAAGGCACAGAGAGAAGGAATATAAAGGAAAAAAACCTCAGAACAGGAGATGCAGGGAAAGATCAAGACATAAAGGGAAAGAGAAAGTAATCAGGAAAGAGAGAGAAAGCAAGAGACATAAAACAAAATAGCTGGAATGAGGTAAAAGTTATGTCACCAGGATATGTTTGTTTTGAACTCCAGGAAAGGAGATAAGAAGGGATGAGAGGTGAAACAATGGCATCCTTAGCTGTTGTCCTGCTTGGCCTCCAGAAGTTCTCTACCCAGAAGCCCTGTCCTATTTCCTCCTCCTCAGGGTGGGACTCCCTTTGCTATATGGGATGAGTCCTTGGACCCAGATGGTGAGCCTGTAAGGGGTGGGGTGCTCTGAAGGCCTGATTACTAGTTGTTAGTGATTAAGAATATCTATCCCAGACCCTTCCTGGGCTCCAACCTTCTCTCCTCTTGGAAAGACCTGTTGACTCATAGGATCAGACGTCCTAGAGGGGTAAGGCAGTAGGACTCAGGAGTTGGTCCTAGGGATTTTTTGGTCAAGAGGAATGAGTGCTGGAAGAGAAAATAAATCTATGATATCACCCTGGGGATGTCAGACCTAAGAAAGGAACAATGACCTTGAAAGATTCAGCCATGGCGCCCAGGAGTTCTGAAGGCCCAAAGCCCAAAACTAATCCCAGAAGAAGACCTGTATACCCTTAGTTCCTTAGTTTCCCACTGGCCCACTGGACTGACACTGTTTCTGGGAGGGGGGATCTGCAGGTGTTCACTATTCACCTGCAGCCCAAGTCACCCTTCTCAGAGAGAAAATGTTTGAGAAGGGTCTGGCATATTGAAGATGAATAGATGAGTGAATGCAGGGGGTGGGGCGGGGGGCGGAAAGCAAGCAATAGCAAAATATTAACCATGGTAGAATCTATACAGTGGTAATATGAGTATTCACTATACAGCTCTTTAAACTTTTATATGTATATGGATTTTATCATTAAAAAATATTAGGGAAGAGCCAGGCATGGTGGTTCACATGTGTAATCCCAGCACTTTGGAAGGCTGAGGCAGGAGAAATCACTTCAGAAGTTTGAGACCAGCCTGGGCAACATAGCAAGGACTTGTCTTTACAAAAAAAATTTAAAAATTAACCAAGTGTGGTGACACACCTGTAGTCCCAGCTATTCAATAGGCAGAGGCAGAAGGATCACCTGAGCCCAGGAGGTCGAGGCTGGGATGAGCTGTGATCATGCCACTGCACTCCAGCCTGAGGGACAGATACCCCAACTCAAAATACTACTACTAATACTAATAAAATATTAGAAAAGGGAGAGAGGAAGTTGCCTGGTAAATAGTAGGCACTCCTAAGTACAAAGTGTTGGAAGTATATTCCCTTTCTGGGAGAATCTATATTTCAAATGCCTAAGGAGGGCAAGGTTTATCCTGACAGATGGCAGATTTCAAGTGAGATCACCTGCAGATCATTTAGGGGAGGGAGCACTTTCAAGATTACACACCAGATGTGATTAGCTCCTTTGCCCATCCAAAGTTGCTGGTCCTTCAGTTGATGACCTGTTCTCAAGTTTATTCTGCCCCTCCTGATAGTTGATACTTGACCCAGAGTGGACCCCACCCTGCCACCTGTAACCCTTGGGGGAAGGGCAGGATAAGGTGTTCCAGTCCCTGCCTGAAACCTGATCCTAAAAGGTTGTTCATGTTTGCTCAGGAGGTGAGGTTCACACGATAAAGAGGAGGGGGAGGGCTTGGACCTGATTATAAAAGATCTGGAAGTTTTTTGGGGTGTTACTTTTCATCTGAAACTGCCAGGTAAGGGGTGACAAGGACACTTGAATCTGAGATGGGATGAGGTTGACATCTAAGCTGGAGAAGAGAATGCCTGGATTGAGTGACAAGGAAGATTTCAGTGTCAGTCAATCGGGACTCCTGGATCTGAGTTAGTCTTAGGTGCAAAGATATCTGGGTCTCCGCTGAAGGACTGGGATGCTCAGGGGAATGGAAATGGCCATGTTTGTGTTAGTGGAGAAGGATGACAAATAAACCAGTCACCTGGAATCTAATGTCTTGAGCTGGTCCCAACTCCTTCTGCAACTTCTTTATCTGGCCCAATTCCACCAGCTCTGCTGTTGGCACAGTCTCTTCTGTCACCACCTTCACTCGCCAGGTGACACAGAGGCACCTATAAAATGCTGATTTCCATCTTGAGACCCGGGGGAAGCTAGGGATTTAAGCCATGCCCTAGACTCCCCATAGGCCAGGCCAACCTGCCACAGGCAGTGAGGTTTTGCTCAGATCTCTGGTTCAATAAATTCAACCATCTCTATGCTTTGAAGATGTCTACCACATCTTCTTTAGAAAACTCCTTTCCCATCTACAACCATGCCACCTGATCTCAGCTGATCTTAGAAAACTCCTTTTCTGCTTTGTGCCAGGGTGGATGGGATTTGACACAGCTTGATCCAGATAGAGAGTTAGGATTGATTTTTCTTGTTTGAGAGGAAAGAAAAGGGATTAGCTATAGCCAGACCAGGGAGAGCCAGAGGGGTTAAGGACATAAAAGATAGTATCTGGGGGAATGGTACTATAGGCTATGCACAGTCCTTTCTAAGCTCAAGCCTGGGTCTGCTAGGCTTGAGTTAAAGGACCTGGGTCTAAACTGGGAGCCAGGAATGCCTGGGTAGACTAAGTCCAGAAGGAAAAGGGTAAACCTTCCTTTTTTTCTTTCTTCCCACTTTATAGCCTCAGAATGTTGACCATTGCTATACTAGCCCTTCTTTGTGCCTCAGCCTCTGCCAATGCCAGTAAGTGACATGCCAGGAGTCTGGTCATGGGTCATGGGAAGGCAGCCTCCGGCAATGCTGGTGACCAAAGCGTTCAGGGCTGGCTTGGGATGTTGTGAACTGAATTGTGGAGAAGCAGGTGGTTGGGAGAAACTGAGCTCCCAGGGGATTTCTCCCTCCAATTTCTGCTTTTCCCTCCAGTTCAGGCTAGGTCTTCCTCCTATAATGGAGAGTATGGAGGTGGTGGAGGACAGCGATTCTCTCATTCTGGCAACCAGTTGGACGGCCCCATCACTGCCATCCGTATCCGAGTCAACAGATACTACATTGTTGGGTAAGATTCTTTGATGCGGCAGGTCATGCCTGTAATCCCTGTACTTTGGCAAGAGGTTCGCTTAAGTCCAGGAGTTCAACACAGTGGGCAACACAATGAGAACCCATCTCTGTAAAAAGTGTTTTTTAATTAGCTGGGAGTGATGGCTCTGGGCAAGTTGTTTTCCCTTTATAAGCCTGTTTGTCAGCAAAATGAAGAGTTGAAATTCCCTGTATGATCTTCTAGGGCTCACCCAGCCTTCACATTCTATGGGACTAGCAGGAGACTTTTGTCATCCCTGTCACCAGTTTGAAAGTCTCAGCACGTAGGCCCAGAGGTTCTGAATTCAGATAACCCTACTGAGTGTCTCCCTTCTTTTCCTCCTCACCCCTATCCCCAGGCTCCAGGTGCGCTATGGCAAGCAGTGGAGTGAATATGTGGGTGGCTCCCAGGGGGACCTGGAGGAGATCTTTCTGCACCCTGGGGAATCAGTGATTCAGGTGTCTGGCAAGTATAAGTACTACCTGAGGAAGCTGGTCTTTGTGACGGACAAGGGCCGATACCTGCCTTTTGGGAAAGACACAGGCACGAGTTTCAATGCTGCCCCTTTGTATCCCAACACCGTGCTCCGATTCATCAGTGGCCGTTCCGGTTCTCTCATCAACGCCATTGGCCTGCACTGGGATGTCTACCCTAGTGACTGCAGCAGCTGCTGAGCCCCAGCCTCCCCTTCGGCAGGGTCACTGTGGTGGGGTGAGGGGATGCCCTTACCACTAACCCCCAACCAAATGGCTCAATAAAAGGATATGGCTAAAGCTAGTGTGTATGTGGGTGTCTGCAGCTGGGCTCTGCCTCCTGACTTGGGTAGTGATGTGCAAACCTCACTGCTGGCTATCTGTTGGACATCCATCTGGGAAGAGTGGGAGGATGAGGGAGAGAGGTGTAAGCCTCCTGGGCTTTTTGTTATAATTTGTCACGAAGAGACTAGATTCTGGCTTGCACCAAGTCTTTCCAAGGATAGCTCCTGAGAATGTTTACCCAATCTGGAGTTCCCAGGCTGGTCGACAAAACCCTGGATATATCCCACTCACTCTCCAGCTCTCCTCTCCCTTTGTTCTTCCCCTTGGGAAAGTGCTTCTCTGGTGGAAGCCTGGCCCCTCACTCTCTTGATCTTAATCCACTCATTGTACATGGGTGGCCTGGATCATTGCCCTTTGTTCTTTCCAGAACCCATTCAACTCCTGAAGTTTAGCCTACGTTTGTGCCTGAGGCCTCTGCCCTGTTACCCCAACCTAATCTGGGTTAATTTTGTGAAAGTTATCAGTATCAAAATTGAGTGAAAGACTAAACTGAGGCAAGGTGGCTGGTGCCGCGGGAATAATGCAAGATTACAAAGTAGGAGGAAGTAAAGTTTATTATTCACCTTTTACAAATGGATAGGAGGCCAGCACTCAGGCGAGTGTGGTGTGGAAGGCTGGAAACTAGGTGTGTTTAAGGGTCTTTAAAACAATGCCTCAAGGAATGTTCAGAGTTGTATTCTTTGGTTTCCAGAGTAGTCACATGAATCTAGTATCTTGACATCCCAGGTGTCAATGTCTCATGACCTCAGGTGGCGGGCTGGAGGTTGTCATGGTTGTATGATAACGATATACCAATAAACATGCCTCCCGCCGGTATGCTGGAGGTGATCACCAGGAGCCAATGACAATGTATCAATACAAATGCCTAAAAGATAAATTGTTGGCAAGACTGGACGTGCTTAAGGGGTTCTGTGTAATCAATGGTTTCTAAAACTAAAATGTTTTTCTTGTTAATGATTATAAGGTAAAAGAACGTGTGGGCTGTGCAAGCTATGCAGCAAGGGAATGTCAAGGGGTGAGGCCCAAGCAAAATGACTGTGCTGATTCAAAAGGCTACAACATATCCTAAATTTCTAGGGTTCCCTTCTTTCATTGAGTCACCAGCCTGAACAACATAGCAAGACCCTATCTCTACAAAAAAAAGAAAAAATTAGCTGGGTGTGATGGCACGCGCCTGTAGTCCCACTAGTTGGGAGGCTGAGGTGGGAGGATTACTTGAGGCCCGAGTTCCAGGTTACGGTGAGCTATGATCATGCTCACCGTAACAAAGTGAGACACTACCTATACAAATTTAAATTTTATTTTATTTTATTTTATTTTTTGAGTTGGAGTTTCACTCCGTCCCCCAGACTGGAGTGCAGTGGCACGCTCCCGGCCACCGCAGCCTTGACCTGCTGGGTTCCGGTGATCCTTCCACCTCAGTCTTCCAAATAGCCGGAACTACAGGCGTGTGCTACCACGCCCGGCTAATTTTTAAAAAAATTTATTGTAGAGAGTGGGGTCTCGCCAAGTTGTCTGGGCGGGTCTCGAACCTGCGGACTCAGGCAATCCACTCGCCTCGTCCTCCCAAAGCGCTGGGATTACAGGCTGAGCCACCAAACCTGGCCAAATTTTATTTTATTATTTATCTATTTGTTTTATCTATTTTGAGTTGGAGTCTCACTCTGTGGTCCAGACTGGAGTGCAATGGTACGTTCCTGGGCACTGCAGCCTCGACCTGCTGGGCTCCAGAGACCCTTCTGCCTCAGTCTTCCAAGTAGCTGGAACTACAAGCACATGTTACCATGCCCAGCTAATTTTTGATTTATTGTAGAGATGAGGTTTCACCAAGTTGCCCGGGTGGGTCTCGAACCTGTGGGTTCAGGCAATCCACTCGCCTCAGTCTCCCAAAGTGCTGGGATTACAGGCTGAGCCACCGAGCCCGGCCACAAATTTAATTTTTAAAAAATGAAATCACTTCTATCATGCCCTAACAAAATGGACCCCAGCTGACACATAAAACTCATACCAGATAAAATCTAGGACTGAGGTGGAGATTCAGGAGAGAATGGCAGGGAGTGATGGAGTTTGTTGAGGACATATAAAAGGATTAGTGAATAATGTTATCACAGGTCTCGGTGAGTTAGGTTGACTTAGTACTGCACAGAGATTTAGGAAACCTAAGTTCTAGCCCTGCTTGACTACATGACCTCAGCCAAATCTCTTAGCCTCTCTGGGTTTCAATTACCCATCTGTAAAATGAGCTTATTTGGGTCAGATGCTCTCTAAGACCTACCTAATTGTCACATCCTAGAAATCTAAATTCTAAAAATTTACTGTTACATAAAAATAACTGGCCTCATTGTCTGGCAGTTGACTGTTATATAGGGAAAACTGAGACGTGTATATGAGGAAGGAGGCCCCAAGCACACAACCCAAGACACTCTGAGATGGGGCATCCCTGAAATGACTGAAGTCTGAAGCCCCTCTAGCAGGGAGTGCTTTGGGACATACCTGGAATGAAGGGCCCAGAGGCCTACCAGCTACAAAGGGAGCTCATAGATACCTTAATGACAACCTGGAGTTGAAAGGCAATATATCAAAAAGAAGATCCCAAGACCTACTGTGAGGTCACTAAATCAATGGGGTGATATGACTATGACAGCTTCCTCCTTTGGATCATCAGGGACTCCTTTCTACGGCTAGTATTGAGTACCCAAGCTTCCACTTCAGAGCAGGGCAGGGAGAGGGCCATGTCAAGAGAACACAGGGCCAGACCCAAGAATAGAGAAGTCTTCACCTGCAGAAGCAGAGGCAGTCATCCAGGGGACAGCTGAGGCCCATTCCCTAAACAGCAATCGCACAACCCAGATCTCCAATTAGCGGAAGACTCCCTTAGACTATAGCTCATGTGTCTCAAGCAAGTTTTCAGCCCAGTAAATTCAAGTCCTGGCAATGAAAGTGCAATCTTTGGAGTTATGAATTTGGGTTCGTAAGTACTGGGGAAAGAGAGCAAATACAGATCAATTTTTAACATAGGGCATATGCAAGGACATTTAAGGATCACATAGATAGGAAGACTATATTAGCTGTCATACATGTTTGGGAAAACAGTAGGGAAAGAGGCAACTAACATCTGTTGAACATCCATTAGGAGCTAAGGTGGTCTTCAAAAACTACATCATTTAATTGCGCCAACAATCCTACTGGAAAGTAGTAGTATTATTCCCAGTTTTCAGATGAAGTCTTCACAACTGAAAGTGGTTGATGTGTGTGGGTGGTATGAGAGTCATAAGGACAGATGTCAGGAGTCACTGTCGTCCCCCTGACATACCTATACCCCCATATTTAATAACTGAGCCGCCTGAGCTTTTTTCCTATTCTCTGCTTCAGTTTGCCATCAGAAGCAGCTCATCCAAAATCCCTCTAAATCTTGATAAAGCAAAGGAAAATGAGAACTCAGAAAAGTAATGTTTATTTATTCAGTCATATTACAAATATTTATTAAGTACCTATGATGTGTCAGGCACTCTGCCAAATGCTGTTACTTGCCCGAGGTCACAAACCTAGTAGGTAGCAGAGTCAGGTTTAAAGTCCGAGCTTTCTGATGTCAAAGTTTGAACATTGTTTTCAAACTTAGAAACAAAATCTTGCAAGGCATTCTAATATGTGACATAGAAAAAAAGCAGAGTTGCTCTTGTTAAAATGCCCTGAACTCCATCCACTCTTCCCTCCCCTTTTCTATCTTTCCCCCAAAGCAGCCCATCTAAAGCCCTGATGAACCACTGTGACTGGAAGGAGCACAAGTGGAAAATCATGTCATCCTTCCATCATGGGAGTTTTGACCCAAACTCCTACCAAGATATAGAACATTACATGACCTGACCGTCATCCTAGAAAATTTCCTCTGGACTCTTCCCAGTCACTTCCTGCCCCCAATTCTAAGAGGCAGACACTCTTCTGACTTTTTTTTTTTTTTTGAGTTGGAATCTCACTCTGTCACCCAAGCTGGCATGCAGTGGCATGCTCACCTTCACCCCAGCGTCGACTTGGCTGGGCTCCAGCAATCCCTCTGCCTCAGCCTTCCAAGTAGCTGGAACTACAGTCGCGTACTACCATGACCAACTAATTTTTAAAAAATTTTTATTTATTGTAGAGATGAGGTCTTGCAAAGTCACCCCGGCTGGTCTTGAACCCACAGGCTCAGGCAATCCACTCGCCTTGGTCTCCCAAAGTGCTGGGATTACAGGCTCTGACTTTTTTTTTTTTTTTTGAGTCATAGACTATTTTAGCCTATTTTGCATTCAGTCTGTTATGATGTCACATACCATGTTGTCTTCTGAAAATTCCACTGTATACTCATGAGAAAATAAGAGCACTTACAAACCCAAATTCATAACTCTTAGTTTTATTGTGAAAACAATTTAAAATTGAATCCTTGCTCTAGGGATTGCAACCTTTTGGGGTATTTGTGTGTCTACTTATCGAGTTGGCGTCTTACTCTGCTGCCAAGGCTGGAGTGCAGTGGAACGATCACTGCTCACAGTAGCCTCAACCTCCTGGGCTCAGGTGATCCTCTTGTCCCAGTTTCCCGAGTAGCTGAGATTTCAAGTGTGTGCCACCACACCTGGCTAATTTTTTGAATTTTTTGTAGAGATGAGGTCATGCTATGTAGCTCAGGCTGGTCTTGAACTCCTGGCCTCAAGCAATCCTCCCACCTCAGCCTCCTGAATTGCTGGTATTAAGGAGTGAGCCACTTTGCCCAGCCCTGAGTTTTTCTTTAGTTGACAGTTTTAATATACTTTTCTCTTTTGTCTTCTGCAGAGCAAGCCTCACCATTCCAATGAACACAACAATTAACCTATCCACAGCAGCCTCAACAACTGATCTCAGTGACCTCTACAAAGAGCTACCTGTGAACTTTCAGCAGGAACCTAGCTGAGCCCCTTTGGTAGTGGTTCACCCCCAGTCATTGTGGGA